AACAATGTTTGACTATGTTATCTGCTAACTGTGTAGGACATAGAAGGACAAAATTCCCAAGATGACCAGTGCCAGGAACTTCCTTGGAAAAGATAGTGGGAGTTGCTCTCTGCCCACAACAGCCTGTGGGAAAAAAACCTGTCATAACTAAAAGATACAGAGAGTTGTGTGGGTATAAAATAGTGATGGGATTTCCGGCTCTTTTTAGAGAACCGGCTTTCGGCTTGGCTCCCAACTGGCTCTTCAGGTTGTTTTGTTTCTTTAATTAATTTATTATTAACAACAATATAAAATTATGCACAAAAGGATTTACTAATGTAAAAAACAAACAAACGTGGTTTTATTTATATATGTTTATATATAAATATATACGGTGGCCCCTGGAGACAAAGCACGTACAAACTCCAAAAAGCACGTACAAATTCCACAACTCTGGATTCGATAACTGATTCAGAAAAAAGGAGATTTTTTTCAAATTTAGTAATTTTCTTTTTACGTGAAACTGAATTAACATAAACTACAGAAGCATTAGAGCGACACCTTGTGGTCTTTCCTTTCACAGCTGCAAATAATAGTCCATGTTCTTCCTCTGCACCATAAACACTCAGACTCTGGGACTCTGACCACGAGTGACGTCCTAGTGAATGCTTGTCAGACACCTCATGTGTGCTAGTTTTTAGTGTGACAAAGAAACAACAGACAAGACTTCAACACAGGAAAGAAGCAGCATTTGTTTCACAATGACTGTGGTGCACAAGTGGTTTCAGCATCCGCACTTTAATCAGTTCGTGCTATAACGTATATGTAATTAACAAAAAAAAACATGACAACCAGAGACTGTCTATACCTTTATGCTTATATGCTTTTGATGGGGTAGAGGACAGAGTCTTATTGCCTATAGAACATCTTAACATACATTTTATTGCAGTTTCTTTTTTTTAAACCTGTTTTTGATACTTAAAAACTACAGCTGGGTTAGACTGGTCTGTTTACATGGTCTATACACAGTTTGATATGAGCCATAAACTCCACATACAAACATGACTGCGGGACGAAATGCAGCGGGAGAAATCAAACATCGGGGGGAACCAATGAGGACGGAGCATAAAGGAGCAGGAAGTAAAAGACAATGAGACCATCAGTGCAGTGACTTACCTGCAGTTAACGTTTGAATGGTGTTTCCACAGTGTTTCTGAATTGTGTGGGACTACTTGAGAGGAAAAAACTGTGAAAAATAAAAATATGTGTCAGGGCACAGCATGTGCTGGGCAAAAACAGAGACAAAAACACTCTCAGGATCATATTTTCAGTTGTTATTACTACAGTAGGTCAGTAGGTGTCTCTAGAGTCACCTTTCAATTCAACATCCAACACATGCAAAGAGGCAGACACACAAAGTGTTTTATCACCACATCGATTTACATGCAAAGACGCAGACACACTCATAAAGTGAGTCAAGTTTGTTTCCCTAGCACAGTTATTTTTATTTTTTATTTTTTTCCTGTCATGTTCGGTACTTTAGCAATCAGAATTGTTGTCTGAATGCCAGGAAAGATGCTCAACAGATTTATTTTTTCAAGTGGAGAAAATATGGCAATGCCTTATTGGTCTACTTGTTTGATCTATATTATTACTGTTTATTTATTTTATTTTAAGTTATTACAAATTGGACAGATAATTAGACAGACAGGGAGAACGAGAAAGAAAGAAAGGGAGAAAGAAAAAAGAGGGGAAAGAGGGAAAGCAAGAGAAGGCACTGAGAAAATCCGTTGGATCAACAAGAAAAAAGAAAACAAACAACAAGAGAACAACACAATACAGAGATCAAAGCAACAACCTAGATAAGTGTGAGTAACAGTAAATACTAAATATTGATTGTTATTGAGCAGCACGCAAGACCGACAGCACACGATATGCGTTAAGGTAGCAGCCAAGGAAGATATAGTTTGTGTCTGTGAACACCCCCGGAAGGGGCCCAACCTGGCAACAGGTGCCGCCACGAATGAGCCAGGTACATAACTGAGTGCCCAGCCCCGAACACCGAGAACTATAGTGATGGTAAATTTGATTCTTTTTACTGAATCGAGTTTTAATGAGTCACTCACCAAAGTGAATC